ACGCTGGTCAGCAATGGAATCACTTATTTTGTTTTATAAGCTTTAATGCTATATATGAAGAAAAGAATAAATGTCTTTATAAGTTAAAGATCTTCATCAGAATATAAAGAAAATTTCTGTTTTCAACAAGATTGTAGAAAAATGTTGTTTGTACTTGTGCTTTTGTTAACATGTATCTCACTCACACCGCAAAAATATGTACACTATTTGACATATTAAGTGCTATTTCTGTTTTAATTCAAAACAAGCACTGGGTGGAAAAAAGATCTAACTGCGATCAGGTAGGCCAAGCAAAAGATTTAGTACAAAAAGAATGATTCACTTTTATATTTATTCTTCCATTTTAAAAAGGTGTAAGGTAGAAAGATACAAAACTGTTATTATTTTCTTTTACTTTCTATAGGTTTTATTTGTGATGCATGAACTTTCGTCTACACTGCGGCTGCGCTGGTCATAACCTGAATATTACACGAATAGTAAGAGTTGATTATCTTGTTGAATATAGTCAGCTCAAATCTGTACATCTATACTCCATGTCTTAAACATTTTACACATACATTGTCAAATTCACACTTATAGAGAGCCTAAAAGTTTCCACTGACACAACACGCAGCGAGCTTACATCTGTTCCTCTGTCTGATGCCGTCGCTAGATACATCAATTTGACTCTGACGATCATTATTAGGATAGTCATAGATTATATTGCAATAGTAAAAAATGTCTGCTTAAAAACGAACTTGCTGTATTGGTGTCCTCTCAGTTCGTCCCAAATTGGCTTTGTAAGATCAAACAACATCAAAGGGGCGAGCAGGTGTGAGAGTGAGCAATTTGCGACGAACTGAGAGTAAACCGCTGTATTTTGTCGTGAAAAACACGCCATACACCCATTTCTAATAAATCTATCTTTTATTAAACATATTAGAGGAATTTCAATTAAACTGTTTCATAAAAAGCACATCCCTTCGCCTCGATACGTTTTGTATCTATCTTGTAAAAATTTTCCTTGTTTTATAACATATATATCATTAAATCGTTCGCAAATTTCACCAGCCTTAGCGTGTCGAAAAAAGATAGCATCACCTAATTGTAATTGTTTCTTTTTGCACCATACTGGTGTTTGTACTTCGCCTGCACCTTCATTGGGATCGAGTTGTGCACCTTGTAGAAGATACGGTTGAGGAGATTTATCTTGACCTGTTTTACCACTTGCACTGTAACCTCCACCTAAGCACGTATAAATACATAATGTTGGTTGACGAATGATTTGACAAGCAAAAAACAATGAAGGATGGAATGGTTTCAAATCTTTATATTCATCAAATAGTAATGGAGAAAATAGTCCTGAACCAACCGTAATTTCGTTTACTGAAAGATCAGTGCATGTAAAATTGATAGAACCAGTTCCTCCACCATTTACAAATCTTAATGTAAATCCGTTACTCTTTAAAATTTTCTTCGTGTGTTCAACAATTGATTTTCTCCTCGATAGTACATCCAGCGAAGAATAATGTTTGAGTGTTCTAATTAATGTATCCATCGGTTTTTGAAGAAAACATTGATGATTATCGCCTAAACCAGCAATTTGTGCTTCATAACCAAGTAGTCCATCTAATTTTAAGTTCGACGACTGTATAACATGCTGAAGCACTTTTTCAACATCATTGATTGTTCTAAGAGGTGAACGACGAACACCAAACCAAAGATTTATAATTTGTACTGAATAGGACAGATCAAAATCAATACAAACTGGAATTTTAGTTTTATGCTTTGCTATAGCATTCAATCTATCAATAATACTATCTAAATGTTGAACATGTTGAATACAATCAACTGTTAGAGTAATATAATTTGGAGAGTTATCTACGTGATCTATATTCTTGCTTTGTATACAGTGATATACTTCTTCTATATCTGTCACATGCCAGATAGGATAACCAATTAGAATATCATTGCAAATATTTCGGTTAGATAACCAACATGCTTCTGTAGCTGAAAATGCCATAATTCCATTAATTACGTCGGGATATCTAGTTAGAAGCCTCTCTAATATCGGTATTGAGCGAATTGATTTAGATGCTATACGAACACTTTTTTTATACTTTCGAGCGTGTTCTACAATTTTTCTAGCATTCATGTCGAATAAATCAAGGTCAAGCAGAAGGCATGGAAAAGTTTTCGGAGGAGTTGATTTGAGAATTGATGCATAGTACTCGTATGTTTCATCGATAAAATTGACGGAGCTTGATCTGTTAGTAATGTAATGATATAAGGTTTTAAACGTCTTGTTCACGATTAGCCAAGAAAACCACAGTATCTCGTATATATAATGAAATGCTTCCATCTTAGTAGATGGAATACATCATCCAATAGCAAGCAGTGCAAAACCTGAAAAAAATGCAGGAATGATAACATGGAAACGGATCGAAAAGTACAGCAATAAAGCCTTTTGGTCAAGAATTAGGAAAAGTTCGTGTCAATATTTCGTTTAAATGTATAATCATGTGACAGTTCTAACAGTTAAACAAATACGAAAATAGAAGAAGGTCGACATTAAAAATGTGTCAGTTCTTCTTGATTAAATCAACGATGGAAATTGCAGTCTTAGTTGTAACTGATTAATTATTAGTTTTCATTTGGACTATTAAGAGTCTTCATTATTTTACGTATGACATTGATATAAACCAGAA